GCGTGTGGTGTGCGTGTGCGTGTGCGTGTGCGTGTGCGTGTGCGTGTGCGTGTGCGTGTGCGTGTGCGTGTGCGTGTGCGTGTGCGTGTGCGTGTGCGTGTGCGTGTGCGTGTGCGTGTGCGTGTGCGTGTGCGTGTGCGTGTGCGTGTGCGTGTGTGTGCGTGTGTGTGTGTGCGTGTGCGTGTGTGTGTGCGTGCGTGCGCGCGATGTCTGCGAGCGTGTGCGTGCGTGTCTGTTGGCGAAATGTCGCCGCCCAGTCTGGAGAGCACCCCAAGCGATTCTGCATCGAGCGATTGAAAGGGCCCGCGCGCCGTGCCGGCCCGTGCAGGTTCCCGACAGGACGTGGACCATTCGCCCTTTTACGATCGGCCGCTTCCCGAAACGTCATACCGTTCTACATGTAGATCGGGCCTGTCCCCCTACAGGAGGAGTTCGGACGAAAACTAAAAAATTGTCAAACAATATTCAAAACATGCTCAGAAATAGTCAAAAAATCGTCCCCCGACTATTTTCAAGTATTTTTGAATATTCCTCCTGTAAAGGGACAGGCCCGACTTAATTCTACATCCAGCGATCCTGGGCGGCCGCCAGCGGTCGACATGGAACGCCAGCGGCAGGGTCGCCGCCTGTCGGCACGACGCGAACCTGCCAGAGGCTCCATAGATGGGGTCGGAGTAGATGGGGGTCTGAGGATCTCCCCGCATGCTAGATACATCCGCGATGCATCGGCGGTGCATTGGCGACGTCGGCGATGCATCAGCGACGCCGGCGTGGAGGAACTTGGGCCCTACATCGAGCCGCATCGCCGATGCATCGCCGATGCGTCGGCGATGCGGCGCCACCCTCCGACCCCATCCACTCCGACCCCATCCAGGAGGCCTAGGCCGCCCTGCCTCCTCCTCCTCCTCCTCCTCCTCCCTCCTCCTCCTCCTTCCTCCTCCTCCTCCTCCTCCTCCTCCTCCTCCTCCTCCTCCTCCTCCTCCTCCTCCACCTACCGCAGCTCCATGCGGCCTGGGCCGCCCTGCCTCGCGCGCCTGGGCGGCGCGGGTGGCCCGCCTCATTCATTGACACCGCTTTCTGCCGCGCGCGCCGGCACCCCCAGCGCCGCCGGCCCCGAACCACGGTCGGCAGGGCCAGCGGCCGGGCTGCTCGGCATAGGGCCCTCGGAACGGGGCACCGGGAGGGAGGGAGGGGCCCTGCGATCCTGGCGCCTCAACTTCTTGGAGCCGAGCGCTTTTGCCCGACTCTGGCTGTGATCTGTTCTAGAAGAGGCCAAGTTCGGGCAGGGATGGATCGCGAGTCCCTGAGATCCGGCGGCTCTGGAGGATGCACCGGGCGCCGCGGCCTTCTCAGAGTGTTCCGGGACGCTCTGGAACGGACTTCTCCCCGTCCCTGGCCATCGCTCGGACGTCCATTTTCTGTTTTTTTTCGGTTTCGTGCGTGTTTTCTTCGCGAGATGATAGAAAGGATGCTCCTCGATGGTCCTCGCCGAGGAAAAAACGCACACTTCCGAGCGATGCCAGGGTCCTGGCCCCGCCCGATTTTGCGATGACGACGGATCTCAGGGAGGGAGGAAAGAGACGGCGCCTCGCGAGCAGTCGGGAGCCAGGGCGGCCTCCCGGCCGAGAAGGCCTCGCGGAGCATGCTCGAGGCCCGGGGTGGTGGGCTCTCGATGAGCCCCGGAGGATCCAGGGTGGAGGGGAGAGATTCGGAAGGAGGGCAGGGGAGAGAGGGGCGGGTCCTGCGGGCGGATGGGGGGCGGAAGTGGCGGAGCGGAGGAGCTCGAGGGGGAGAGGACGGGGGAAGAGGACTTCGAGAAGCGGGGGAAGCGGGAGGGGGAGTTCGAAGAGGAGGAGGAGGAGGAGGAGGAGGAGGAGAGAGGAGGAGGGAGGAGGGAGGGGGAGGAGTCAGTGGTAGGAGAGGAGGGGGAGCTCGGGTCGGAGGCGGAACGGGAGGAGGAGGAGGAGGGGCAGCTCGAGGACACGGAAGAACGACGGAGACGGACGAGCCAGAGCCCGCGAGAGCACCCACGCTCGCCCCTGGCCGCTACTCCTGCCAGCGGCGAGCGGCGCACAGACGGGATGTGGCGGCGAGGGGGGGCGCCCTTCGGAGGCAGCGGGGTGGGGGGAGGGCCTCTTGGGAGGGGTCGGGGGCGTCTGGGAGCGCCTCGCAGAGGCCCAGGGGGGATTCCCAAGGATGGGGAGCCGAGAAAGGGCGCACCGCGCCCATCCGCGCGCACGAACACGGCCCCCCAGCTCGCGAGTGCCACGGACACACCCGCGTGGCACGCCCTCCAGGAGCCCGCGTGAGCTCACGCCATGGCACGGAAATGCGTATGGCCTTCGCTGAAAAGGCCCTGGGACACACAAATCAACACACACACACACAAATAACAGGATTCCCCATACTTTCGTATATTTTCTTGGTTTGTGTCTTCCCCCCCACTTCACATAGTTTCCCATAGTCTGGGGAATCGAGGATTAATTGTGTGTGTGTGTTTCTTTCCTTCCTGATTCGCTCCTGAGGGAAGATCACCCCATCGGCCGTGTCGGGGGCCCCTCCCCCCCTCAGCCCCCCCGTCAGCCCCCCCCCCCTTGGCCTGACACCTGGGCGACGCTGGACGGGGGGCGACAGAGGGGGGCGGAAGAGAGGCCCCTTCTGGGCCCCTGAGGGCCCCCGCAGGAGCCCAAAAGAGTTTCCCTTTTCTGCAGCGCAAGCTGCCTCCCTCCAACCGATCGCCCATTACTCGCGGCCCGGACGCTCACCCCATCTGCCTCGTCGGGAGCCCCTCCCCCCCTATCAGCCTCCCCTTGCCGCGGCTGGACGTAAAAGTGGGGCCAGGGGTAGAGGTGGGGTTGGGAGGGAAGCACCAGCTGTGAGCATCCAAGTGGGATCGCTCCCTGACCCCACCTTGGGACAACCCCCCTCGACGTTTCAGTCGGGCCTGTCCCACCACATGGGGGCTTTGGGCGAAAAATTGAAAACTCAAAAATAGTGGAACAATCGTCCCCTGACTATCTTTTTAACTATGTTGGAATATTCCTCCTGTAGAGGGACAGGCCCGACTTACCTCTACGAGCCCCCGACCTTGCCCTGGCACGCACACGAAAAGACACCCCAGGCCCACACGCCGAGCCGCGCTGTCTCTGGCCGCCCCCCCCCCCCCCCCGGGGGGCGCCGCGGAGCGCTCCCCCCCAAGCAGAGCGCATTGTCTCCAGGGGCCCTTTTTCCCTCGGGGCCCCGCTGCGCCGCGGCGGCTTCTGGGAAGCCCCCACCCCCTCCCTCCCACGCCCTGACCTTCCAGACGGTCCTCCCGACCGTCAGACCTGCCTGGGCCGCTTGAGACCCTGAGAGGAATCCCACCAGCCCTCTGGGCGTAGGTGGTATAACGCGTTTTTGTTGTTTCTCTCTTCCACTGAAACCCCTCCCCCCTCTCCTGGGCTTGGACGGGGCGCGCCGCGAGGAGCTAGAGCGTCCAAGATGGCTCAAGATTGCTCCAAGAAGCGTTCAAAGTCGCAAGATGGCCTCCAAGATGGCCCATGTTACTTCAAGATGGGCCAAGATAGCCTCCGACATACCCCCAAGATGCCCTTCGAGCCCTCCACGGCGCCCTCCGAGATGCCAAAACCCTTCAAAAGCTTAGGGAAAATCAATGTTTTTGGCATTCTCGCCGTTTCGCTTCCGATGGGCTTTGGAAGCCTCAAGATAGCACCATGATGGCCCAAAAGGGCCCCAAGAGGGGCCCAAGAAGGCCGAAGACGGCCCCAAGATCGCCCAAGAGGCGCCCAAGAGCACTCCAAGGCGGCCCCAAGACGCCGTTTGAGAGCCTCCGAGGGGGGGATCCGAGTTGAGGCGCCCACTCTTTTTGAGCCATGGGGCCCAAGATGGCCCCAAGAGGCCTCCCAGCCTCTCCCAAAGACCCTCCACCCCGCCCTTTTTGGCCCAAGATGGCTCCAAGAGAGCCCCAGATAGCCCAAGATGGCCTTCAAAATGGCCTAAGATAGCCAAGCATGGCTCAAGAGCCTCCGAAGGCCCTAAAAGAGGCCTCAAGGCAGCCTCAAGATAGCCTCAAGATGGCCCAAGATAGCCGAGCATGACTCAAGATAGCCTCCGACCGCCTCTAGCCGAGCATGGCTCAAGATAGCCTCCAAGAGGCCTCAAGAAAACTGGCAATCAATTATGGTTGGGCTGGTGGGGATACGCGAAGCGTCAATTCGACCTCTGCCTTCCCAGCCCGAGGAATTCGACCGACATCTGCCTTCCCAGCCCACAGCACCTCGAGACCTACCCCCCGACGCCCCCGAGGCTCTCAAGATGCGCCCCAGGACGGTCCAAAAAGACCTGCCCTGGTGCCATCAAGAAGAGAGGAGGAAGGGGAGGAGGGGGAGGAGGGGGAGGAGGGGGAGGAGGAGGAGGAGGAGGAGGAGGAGGAGGAGGAGAGAGGAGAGGAGAGGAGGAGGGAGGAGGAGGGAGGGGAGGAGGAGGAGGAGGAGGAGGAGGAGAGGAGGGAAGGAGGAGGAGGAGGGAGGCGGAGGAACGGGAGGAGTAGGAGGAGGAGGAGGAGGAGGAAGGGAGAGAAGAGGAGAAGGCGGAGGAAGAGGGAGGAGGAAGAGGGGGGGGGAGGAGGATGAAGGGGAAGGAGGAGGGGGAAGGAGGAGGGGGAAGGAGAAGGAGGAAGGAGGAAGAGCTCCTGAAAGGTCAGGGTCCGCCCCGCCCCCTCGCGCGCGCCGCCGTGCTCCAGCGCGCACTTTGTGGACCGACCCGGCGGGGCGCACGGCTCGGCCCTCAGCCGCGGCGGGACAGCTTGGTGATGCTGGGGCCCGCCAGCGCGGCCGGCTGCCTGGGCGGGGCGGGTGCTCCCCACCCCAGCGGGCAAGCCACGACACTTCGGTAGGCAGAGGAGTTTCGCCACGTGATGCCAAGTTCCCCCCCCCCGGATCCTCCTCATCTTCCTCCCCTTTCTCCCTCTCCTCCTCCTCCTCCTCCTCCTCCTCCTCCTCCTCCTCCTCCTCCTCCTCCTCCTCAGATTCGCATCGCGTGACGGATCCAAGTCGCCGATTCGGGGATCTACGGGCCCAGGTACACGTCACAGTCCACACCTGGGACAGTCGGGCCTAGCAGGGCCCTGCAGGATCCCCTGCGGGATCCTGCACGATCCTACACGCTGGCCCGGGTCGGTGCAGCCCGTTGCACTGCAGGATCCTGCAAGATCCGGAGCTCTGGCTGACCCCCGAGGAGGAGGAGCAGGAGGAGGAGGAGGAGGAGGAGAAGGAGAAGGAGGAGATGAAGGAGATGGAGGAGGAGGAGGAGGAAAAGAAGGAAAGGGAGGAGGAGACGAGGCCCCCGACGAGGTTCACGGCAAAAAGCCCCGGGCTGGCGGCACCGCTGCCGACCGCCGCCGACGGCCACCGCGCGGGGAATACGCTGCACGAGGCCTCGTGCAGCACAGTCCCCGCGCGGTGGAAGGGCTGGGCGCTTGTTACTCCCGGCGAGCCGCATCCGCGGCGAGGCTTCCCGACCGAGGGTCCGAAGCGCGGCGCGTTTTCGCGGGCAGGAGGGCCACCCCCCATCCGCCGGCCCCGTCGCGGGGCCATCGGGCTGCGAGGATTGAGCCTGCTGCTCCCTGGACCAGTTCCGGGCTCCAGTTTCCAGTGGTGCAGACTTGCCCTCTGCTTTCGGACTGCAGCTTCTCCCCGTCCGCGCGAGGGGGTGGGGCCGAAAAGGGCCCTGGAGAGCGTCCCCGGATCGTGCTGTCTGAATTTTTAGGGGGCCGTGGGACATGTAAAAGTACGTGGCCCCCCGCAGATGCGGATAAGAGTGAGGGGGCGGTGGGGACGTCGGCAATTTGGAAAAGCCCGCAGCAGGCGCCAAAGTTTCACAAATTATACAACGAGCCCGACGCAGGCGCCAATTTTTTCGTCAAACCAAATTGGGTAGGTCGCGGGCGGGTCGCAAATTGGTCGCGGGTGGGTCGCGGGTGGGTCGCTGTTTGGTCGCGGGTGGATCGCGGGTGTAGAGGGCAGAAAATCTACCCCATAAGAACCACCCCGACAAGCGAAGCCGTTCAGTAAACGCACACTACGAATGAATCAAACAGGGCAAGGCTGTTTAGTCAACGCCCAGGGCCGTTTAGCAAACGTCAATTGTCGGGTCCGGGTGGTTTTTCCTCCCTTGAGGGTAGGTCGCGGGGTGGGTCGCTGGTGGGTCGCGGGGTGGGTCGCGGGTGGGTCGCGGATGGGTCGCGGATGGGTCGCGGGGTTGGTCGAGGGGTGGGTCGCGGGGTGGGTCGTGGGTGGATCGCGGGGTGGATCGCGGGGTGGGTCGCGGGTTGAGTCGCCGGTGGGTCGCGGGTGGGTCGCGGGGTGGGTCGCGGGGTGGGTCGCGGGTGGGTCGCGGGTGGGTCGCGGGTGGGACGACGACAACAAACAACAACAACAACAACAACAACAACAACAACAACAACAACAACAACAATCATTTTACCCGAACGCTCAGTGTTCTCACCAGTGCCAGGGTTTTCATGCGACGCGAGACAATACCCCCACTTCGTGGGGGGGCAGTTCAAGCTCTACCAAATATCCAAACGACTCTTCGCGACCACCCAAACCCAGCTTCCCGCCCTATGACGTTGGGACACTTCACTTCGTGGCGTGCGGACGACCGTGGCTACTACACTGGCGTGGGGTACACACCCACAGAACTTGGTCACTTATTCGGGGCGCGCGTGTGCCCAGCATCCTGCAATTGTGACATACAATACATGACACAGACAGACAGAGAGAGAGACAGAGAGCAGACAGAGAGAGAGACAGAGAGAGCGGAGTTGGTCACATTTTTGGGGCAAGTTCCTGAGATCGTCGTGTTTTTTGTTGGTCTTGCGCGCGCGAATGTCCACTTTACTTTTTTTTGCAAGGGAGTATTGAAATTTGATTATGTTAGAACAAGAAAAAGTAGCTCGCGCGAGCTCATGTAACATAAATGTTGAAAAACCATTGGTTTTGTGGGAGTCGGACAGCGCGCGCGGGATGAAATTTGGACATTTTTTTTTGAAAAACCATTGGGTTTTTGATGTTTTTATGTTGAAATCGTTACGAAACCTAAGGTTCTGGAAGGATTTCGTCTTGCGCGC